AAATTAAAATTATATATTTAAGTTATAAGTAATAAATTGAAATGGATTACTCGTGAAAAATAAATGATTCTTGTGTTCTGATTAAGTATTCATATTTATTGCTCACTCCAAGGTACAACAATCCCTTTGAAAGATTTACAATAAAAGAGTTTCAATCATATCCATTTGCAGTTGGCAGTCCGTAGTTGCTCAAATTATTCACATCGTAAAGACCCTTAAGAAACTTCAAAACCTCTGGACGCTGCCAAGTTGTGTTTGTGGCCGATTGCAGTTGACACGAGGCGCAAGCATTGAGAGCGGGAAACTGAAGTTTCGGGAATTTGGGATCCTCCGTGTCATCGCCAGCCAGGCGCTGATTCACCTCATTGTGAGCCGCCCACAGCCAGAGTATTTCCTCGTCGCGATCGGCAACTGAGAAGAGCTGGCGCCTCTCCGCCATGCCCAGGAAGTGTTGCACACAATCCGTGCAGCCAAAGAAGTGGCTAACAAAGCCGTGTATCGTGGCCAAGACGTAGCCCGCGGGCAGCTCAGTCGATCTGGCCGACTGCACGCTGAGATAGTGAAAGAGCGTCCACAGCGAACAGGTGAAGCCACGCAGAACTGGAGCGGAGCCAATGCAGCCAACATAGCGCCTGGCCTTGAACACCTTGGGCAGCATCCGCTGCTGCAGTTGCACCTGCGCCTCAAAGGCAGCGCCGCTCAACGGATCACTGGAGCCGTTAACGAACTCGTGCAGCCGCGCCAGCAGGATGCTTCCACTGCGATTCAGAGGACTGAACAGGCGCAAAACATTGAGCAGTTGCCGCAGAGCCAAATGACTTGCGGCCTGAAAGACGCGCACCTTGGGCAGCTCAATGTGGAGCAGCTTATCAATGGCCTGCTCCAGGTCAGCGCGATAGGTCTTTGGACCGGCGCCCAGAACGGTAGCCAAAATGGCAGACTGCTCCTCGTCTATGAGCTGTGAGCCAGCATTTGGAGTAGGCGTGGTCGAAGCTGCCGTCGGCGCGCTGTAGCCCTTGGCCTTTAGATACTCTGTCACGCTTCTCACATACTCCGCGCTGCTATCATTGCGCGGGTGCAGACTCGAGATGTGGCCCAGGGAGTCCATAATAAGCAATTTGTTTGGCCTCGAGCCGAAATTGGCAAAGAGCAAGGAATCGTTTAGAGTGCGCACACAAACACTTGGCCAAGTTAACAGGCCCAAAATTGTATCTCGGCCCAAGTCCGAGCTCGTCGGCTGATAGACCAAGACTATATACTTTACGCTGGTGCCGCATTCACTCAGTAAGCTCTTCCGATTGTCCAGCTTGGAAAGCGGCTCGAAATTGGGCTGCCCAAGCGATGCATACTTCACCTTGGCCAAAAATGCAGCCAGCTGTTTGTAGATCTCCTCCGGCTGCAGTGTGTCCAGTTCGTGGCCAACGTCCTGCTCCGTGCGCTGATAGCCCGGCGGATACACGCGCAGCGTAGGCGTCTTGCGTATATCGAAGTCTCGACAGATGCGCACATTGCGCTCCTGGGCACAGTCCACCACATAGATCGAGAGAATGCGTTGCCAGGCCCGCAGCCGCCAGGCCAACTGCTTGAAGGTGCCAGCAAAGCGTCGACAGTCGCCGCAGAAATAGTTGATAAACTGGACGAGCTTGCAATTGTGCGAACTTTGCAGCTCCAGCTCCAGCGTTTCGTTGTTTAATATCTTAACATTGTCCTCGCTGCTGTAGAGACTCGGCTCAGTCACAGTCGCAGCACAAAGCAACGGCAGCCAGAGCCAGAGAATTAAGCGAAACATTTGCGGAAGATGCTGTCCGGCTTGGTTTTTAACTGCAACTGAGGAGAGAGTCCAACTGGCTGCCTTTCTTAAGGTGAACGTTTTGCTTCGATTGTTTCACTCTACGAGCGCTCAACAGATCAACAACAACAGCAACAACAACAGCCACAACAACAACAACAGCAACAAAGAGTAAAAGCTGTAGAAGTAACTTTTCAATTTACAATAAGCTGTTTATATACCGGATGAATCAGACCTTTTACCTTATTTGTTGTAAAAGGCCGATGAAGGCTTTCGGAATGAAAGCTTTACTTATGACCCTATAAAAGACTCCAATATTTTAAGATTTTGTAAAAACATGTTGTCGTTGGGTAGACTGACTGACAGCATAATTCCCATTCATTTCTGGATTTGATGCGATTATAGCTTACAAAACTAAAACTCTGGATTATTGCGTTTCTAGCTTTGCACTCAACCTTAAGAGAGAGAGATGGAGATAGAAAAATAATCTCTAATCGAAGCGATATCTTTTTCGATAAATTTTCCACGATTGAAGATCTTCAATGAGACAGTCATTTCATTTTTAAGTTTATTTTATTTATTTAGTTTTACATTTTTTTTTTTTATTTTTTAATACAATATATTTATTTATTT